TTTTTTTGAGGAAGTTTAGCCCTGAGCTAACATCTGCTGCCAATCCTCCTCTTTTTGCTGAGGAAGACTGCCCCTGAGCTACCATCCATTCCCATCTTCCTCCACTTTTATATGTGGGATGCCTACCACAGCATGGCTTGCCGAGCGGTGCCATGTCTGCACCTGGGATCCGAACCTGCGAACTCTGGGCTGCTGAAGTGCAACATTCGAACTTAACTGTTGCACCACAGGGCTGGCCCTGACAAGGGGTTTTTGTGGGAGATGATTGAAATATTTGTTATCTTGATTGTGGCAGTGGTTTCATGGGTGCATACAACTGTCAAGATTCATGAAATCATGCACTCTAATTGGATCTAGTTTATTTTTCATATAAATAATAAAATCTCAATAAAGTTGATTAAAAAGAGAAAATACAGTAATGTAAAGGTTATGTAGCTGGTGAGAAAAAGAGAATTAGTGATCTGGAATATAGATCTGAAGTAATTACTCAGAACACAGAATGGAGAAATAAGGAAGATGGAAAAAAATGATTGAAAAATTAGACATGCATGGATGATTAAGGAAGAAGATCCAATATTTATTAAATGGGAGTTCAAGAAGAAGATAATAGAGAAAATGGAAGAAAGACAGTATTCAGATAGGTAATGGCTGAGAATTCTCCAGAATCAGTGAAAGTCGAATTCTTAGATTAAGTATCCCAGGAAACACCAAGCAGGATAATCAAAAAGAAATCTTCATTTAGATGTGTTGTTGTCCAACTATTGAACAGTAAGGCAAAGAGAATATTACAAAATTAGCCAGAGAGAAAAGACAAATTACATACATGGTATAACAAAATTAGAAGAGAAAAAACAATGTGATAAAATTAAACATTTATTCATAATAAAAATGCTTAGCAGAATTAGATTTGAAGGGAATTTATTTAATCTGATAAAGGGGAGCTACCAAAAACAAAAACATACCAAAAGCAAATCTTTTATCATTCCCTGTGAGTTCAAGAGGGAAACAAGGCTGCCCATCACCACTACTCCTAGCCAGCTCAGGTAGACAAGGAGGAAAAATAAAAAGTATAAGAATTGAAGTGAAAGAAGCAAACTTGTCATTATTTGTTGATTCTATGCTTGTCTACATAGGAAACTGAAAGGATCTTGAGATTGTAGACATTTCTCTACACCAACCACAATTTTGACAACATGCAACAAGAATCTAAGGCTTCTAGGAACAGAAGCCTTTCTTGCATATCTAAGAAAAGATATGCAAGACCTTTATTGAGAGAATTATAAAACGTTATTGAAAAAATTAAGAAAGCTTTAAAAAAAGTAGATTAAGACTTGCTCATGGACAGGGAGATTGAATATTATAAAGAGGTAATTGTCTCCAAATCATTCTCTGAAGTCAGTGCAATCTTATTAAAACCATTGGGTTTTTACATAGAATTTGATAAAAGTTACATGAAGGAGCAAAGGACCAAAAGGAGCCAAGGTACTCTTGAAGAACAAAAAGGAGGGAGAGGAGACAGCCTACCAAATATCAAGCTTATTCTAAAACCTATGGGACTTAATGCAAGTAGATCAGTGGGACAGAATAGAAAGCCTTATATGTATGGAAACTTAATATATGACAGAAATGATATTGCAGATCAAAGAGAAGCATATTATTCTCTAGAGCAAGAAATCAATAAGTAATACCTAATGGTGAAAAATCAAGAAATAGCAGTATAATTATGTTATCTAGAAATTTGGAAGTAAACAGCAAAAAGGGGGAAAAAAGCAAAAGAGTTGAAAATGGTTGCCTCTGGGGAAAGAGAATTAGGAAATGGGTGATCAGGAAACAGGTAACTTCTTTTTTTAAAATAATGAATCTTTTAGAAATTGTCTTTTTAAAATTGATAATAATTTTGATTTCTTCTTTAATTTTTTCAACAATCCATTGTTTGTTCAGAAGCGTGTTGTTTAGTCTCCACATTTTTGTACCTTTCTCTGCTTTTTTCTTGTAGTTGATTTCTAGTTTCATAGCATTATGATCAGAAAAGATGCTTGATATTATTTCAACTCTCTTGTATTTATTGATGTTTGCTTTGTTTCCCAAAATATGGTCAATCCTTGAGAATGTTCCATGTGCACTTGAGAAGAATGTGTAACCTGCTGTTTTTGGATGAAGTGTTCTATATGTATCTATTAAGTCCGTCTGGTCTAATTTTTCATTTAATTCTATTATTTCCTTGTTGATTTTCTGTCTGGATGTTCTGTCCATTGGTGTTAATGGTGTGTTGAGGTCCCCTACTATTATTGTATTGTTGTTGATGTCTTCTTTTAGTTCTGTTAAGAACTACAAATTTTGGTGCTCCTGTGTTGGGTGCGTATATATTTATAAGTGTTATGTCTTCTTGGTGGAGAGTCCCTTTTATCATTATATACTGTCCCTCTTTGTCTTTCTTTATCTGTTTTGCTTTGAAGTCTACCTTGTCTGATATTAGTATAGCGACACCTGCTTTCTTTTGTTCATTATTAGCTTGGAGTATTGTTCTCCATCCCTTCACTCTGAGTCTGTGTTTGTCTTTGGGGCTGAGGTATGTTTCCTGGAGGCAGCATATTGTTGGGTCTTGTTCTTTGATCCATCCTGCCACTCTGTGTCTTTTGATTGGGGAGTTCAATCCATTTACATTTAGAGTGATTATTGAGATGTGGGGGCCTACCACTACCATTTTATGTCTTGTTTTCCGGTTTTCTTCAATTTCCTTTGTTTCTCGTCCCATGGTTTAATCTGTTCCGATGAAGAGCTGCTACTCTCTGTTGTTGTCCTTCTACTTATCTCCTCTGCTCTTGGTTTTGTAGCCCCTTTCCTTTTTTGGATTTTTCAGGAATGAGGGTTTTCCTGAGGATTTCCTGAAGAGGAGGTTTTGTGGCAATGAACTCCCTTAATTTTTGTTTATCTGGGAAAGTTTTTATTTCTCCATCGTATTTGAAGGATATTTTCGCTGGGTAGAGAATTCTCGGCTGTAGGTTTTTGTCCTTCAAATTTTTGAATATATCATTCCACTCTCTTCTAGCCTGTAAAGTTTCTGCTGAGAAATCTGCTGATAGCCTGATGAGGGTTCCTTTGTAGGTTAGTTTCTTTTGCCTGGCTGTCCTTAGTATTTTCTCCTTGTCATTGACTTTTGCTAGCTTCACTACTATATGCCGTGGGGTTGGTCTTCTTGCATTGATAAAGTTTGGAGATCTATTGGCTTCTGTCACCTGAAGATCCATCTCTCTCACCAGATTTGGGAAGTTCTCAGCCATTATTTCTTTGAATAGGCTTTCTGCCCCCTTCTCCTTCTCTTCTCCCTCTGGTATACCTATAATCCTCATGTTGCATCCCCTAATTGAGTCGGATAATTCTCGGAGAGTTTCTGCATTTCTTTTTAGTCTTAGTTCTCTCTCCTCCTCTGCCTGCAGCATTTCTATATTGCCATCTTCCAAATTGCTAATTCTTTCCTCCATATTATCGGCCCTACTGTTCAGTGCATCTAGATTTTTCTTAATCTCCTCTATTGTGTTCTTCATTTCCAGTATTTCTGTTTGGTTCTTCTTTATCGTATCAAACTCTTTTGTGACATAGCTCCTGAACTCGTTGAGTTGTCTATCTGAATTCTCTCTTAACTCATTGAGTATTTTAATGATGGCTGTTTTGAAGTCATCGTCATTTAGGTTATATATTTCATTTTCTTTGGGATTGTTGTCTGTGTATTTGTTATTTTCCTTCTGTTCTGGAGATTTAATATATTTTTTCATATTGCTTGATGTTGTAGATTTGTGCCTCCGCATAGAGATAGAGATTAGTTGCTCCTTCCACTTGTTTCTGCTGGTGTGGTGGGGGAGCAGCTGTTTATACTGCACCAACCAGGAACCCTGTCTGCAGTTGCTAACTGGGCCTGGGCCCCTCCTTGTAGTCACAGTGGTCCTTTGGATTCCCTCTTCTGCCGTGGGGGCCATCACGGGGGGGCTTCAGGCTGCTGGTGCCTACTGTTGCAGCCCACCTAGACGTGCTCCGATAAAGAATAATTTTGAAAACTCAAAAAATTTTTAAAAATGCAATATTGTATCTTGTATAAAAGAGCTTTTTAAAAGAATACTTTGTCCTACAGTACATCTAGTTTTATCCTCCTGGTGGCCAATATGTTAGGCCAACTCTGATTTACAGGAATATATTGAAATTTACATATACATAATTTTATTTATTCTTTTACTGTAAAAAGCTTTTTACAGTCTTCAAGTGGTTTTCATTTTTGATGTTTGAAATAAGTTGTCATTTGATAGTTTTATATTGTATAATTTAGTCCTTAGCATACTGAGTTAGAAATTATTTCATTAACTTCTGAGTGTGATTTTTGTTAGTATTAAGTCGCTGTTGTTTTAAGATGTTACGAGTCTTTCTTTATTTTTCTCCTTTTTAAGTAACAGAAAGGAACAAGGGATTTAGAATAGGTAGTAGCTTTGTTCTCATCTGTTCTGGTTAAGCATTTCTGGAATATTATAGTTTTCCTGTTGCTATACTTGAAGAGTACCATTAACAAATGGTACCCATAAAAGGATGAGTGAGATGATGTTGGCCCTGATAATCAAGGATATACTTAATATATTTAACTTGGAGAATAGAAGACTAAGGGAGAAACAACTGTCTTTCACATGTTTGAGAGGATGCCATGTGAAATAGGGAACTTGTACTGAAAACATGGTAAAAACCAATAGAGGAAATTACAGAGCAACGTATTTTGCTCAATATGAGGAAGAACTTTCTAGGAACTAGGGGTACCTAGCATTGCAGGAAGCTGACTCTGAAGAATGGAGCTCCTTTTCTCTGGCAGTAGTTAAGTATGGGCTAGATATTCTTCTATTAAATTCCTGAGAGATGGTGTCTTCGTTGTGTGACAGTTGATCTGTAAGGTCCTTCAAAAGTTTTCAGATTATTTTGTGACATTGAGATACTTCCTTAGCTTTGAACTTTTTTCTGTTTTTCAGACCAGTGAATGGAGGTTAAGCTATGTCAATAAGGAATTTGCTGTTTGCCCCTCGTACCCGCCAATTGTCATAGTGCCCAAATCCATTGATGATGAAGCTCTTCGGAAAGTAGCTACATTTCGACATGGAGGACGCTTCCCAGTACTCAGCTATTATCATAAAAAAAACGGAATGGTAAGTGTACTGTACTGCTGCTTGAGCTACTGAAAGACTAGGTTTGAGAACCTTTCCTTAGAAATCTTCCCCCTTTCTGTGTACTTGGTTGCTGAAGTGATTGGTCTCTCCTGCTAGGACTTCCTTCGTTTAAACTTTAGGGAATCAGGAGTAGAGTGTTTTCTGTGATAAGGATATGACTTTGAATTCTTTCTATGATGCTGCTCAACCTTAGAAAAACCCAAGCTAGGTTTATCTTCAGGACTCAGTACAAAGGGAACTAATGTTCATTTGATTCTTAAAGTAACACTCTTAGGTAGAAAAATAAATTTATCTGACCAGAATAATGGTAAGATACTTTATTTTAATTATTCTCACCAAATTTCCCTTTGAAAGGTAAATTGAGCAAACGTTTTTATTTTCAAAAGGGAGAAGAGTGACACATGTCATTAGTCACAACTTAAGTAAACACGGGAGTCAGGAGTGGAATAGGCAAGTGCTCACTGTGTATTTGTTTTCTAAATATTTTCTAAATCTGTTTCTCTCCTCTTATTTTCTCTCAGTCAATAAACTCTGCTTCTCATATTGAAACCCATAGTATATTAGTGGATAAGTTATAGCCATCTTCTATTTTCTTTTGAACCCTGGTAACAAGTAAAACATGGATATTTAGGATGAAAAGATTCTAAAAATTTGCTCCTTGGGCATCAGATCATCTGTCCTGCTTGCTCAGTAGTATTTCTGTTTAGTAGGGTTCATTATAACGCATTTTAACAAATGATACTGAATATGCTGTCCATTTACATGGTAAACACAGTCGGAGAGTTAGCCATTGTCATCCTCTGGTTGACCTTTCTTGATCATGTTAAATTTCAAGGTAAAGATAACAGTGTATATTGTGGGGTGAAATTGAAGTAACTCTGAACTATTCCCCAGGGAAGAGATCAGTATAAGAGAGAATGATTTCTTTGGAAAAGTTTCAAAAGCAAACCTTTGAAAACATAGGTAGTCTTTGGAGACAAGTGGTTAATCCTGGAATAGCAAAAAGATGGAAGGAGGCCACCAGAGAATGAATAATAGATAAGCAACTTTCAAGATATTGAAAATGATTCCCCAAACAAGAAGAATACTTCATAGGCTTTTTTATTTTGCCATTGGTGCCTTTTCTCTTTATAATTCTTGATAAAATCTGCCAACCCTAAGTTTATGTAGTTGAAGTAAAAGTTTGCTGGCACACAGGCCATTATTATTATCTTCATTACAAGGCCAGGTCCACTGGGTAATCAATTCACTGACTAAATGAATTGTAACATTTGATCTTAAAGAGAAACTATAATTTATCATGTGAAAGTATTTTGAGTTAGGAAGAAAAATTGTGTAAAAATGCAAAGCTTATTTTTGTTTTACAATTATTAACTATTGTCAGCATATAGAAATATTTATTTGTTTTGGCATCAAATCCATCTCCAAAGTGTCACACAGTTGTTTTTGAGATACTCTTAATCTAGCTAATTCATTTCTGTTTTCAGAGACGTTAAAAACAGCTACTATTAAATTTTAAACTGCATTGCGCTTCTAGGTAATTATGCGAAGTGGTCAGCCACTCACTGGCACAAATGGCAGACGGTGCAAAGAAGATGAGAAGCTGATAAATGCTACCCTCAGGGCAGGAAAACGTGGCTACATCATTGACACTCGATCTCTAACTGTAGCTCAGCAAGCTAGAGCCAAAGGAGGCGGCTTTGAACAAGAAGCTCACTATCCCCAGTGGAGGCGGATTCATAAGTCCATTGAGAGGTAAAGATTCTGGAGACAGAGATGGATTCTTATTTGAAGCTCATTAGAGTGGGTGAGCCCTTGCCTGTTCAAAAATCACAGGTTTTTAAACTAACCTACGCACTAACTTAGAGTCAAAAATTGGCTGCATATCCTGTCATTATGTTTTAAATGATAAGCAGAAAACTTAATGGGCATCTTGGATGCGTGCAGGTGAGTTTTAGTCAAATAGCATTGTTTCTCTAAGTCAGCCCTGAAATTTCATCACTACAAGGTCTGCTCCTCTACTTGTAGATCAGTGGTTACCAAACTTACTGAACAGGTATGCTAAGGATAATTAGATTTTCCTAAGTCAAAAGACTTTAGAGTTTCAGTTTCCCACATACCTACCTGTTCTCACACCCTGTTTCCTCCACCTATATTAGCTCATGGCTATGCTTGCAAGTGGTGCCTTAGGCGTGCTTCTGGGTGGGTAGGTGGGAGTTGGAGCTAATAAAACAATGGTGTCTGAGCTGGCCTGGGGCATCGTGCTAACGGTCCCAGGTATCTCATGCTGGATCCGTGGGAACAGGATTGCACATGTCAGTGGTGCTGTCTTGTGGCCTGTCATACAATGCAGTGCTCTGGCTGTCTCCCCGGTCAGATAATCCATCTATGCAAACTGGGTTTAATCTGATCAGATGAGGAACAGTTTACCATGATAGGCATTTTAAGCATCTTTGCAACCATGTTTAAATGTCATTTTTCAGTCTTTAATCCTCAAGTTATTGTATAGCAAGGTAAATCTTTTTATAGTATTTTGAGCTACTTTTGCTCTTTGATATATTGGAGGCTGAATTTTTGGTTTGGTTTCTTCCTTCATCATTCTATTTTCTGTTTTCTTTTTTACTTTTCCTTGTTTTTTAAAGGTATCACATTCTTCAGGAGAGCTTAATCAAACTCGTGGAAGCTTGTAATGACCAAACACATAATATGGACCGATGGCTCAGTAAATTGGAAGCCTCGAACTGGCTGACTCACATCAAAGAGATTCTTACAACAGCCTGTCTAGCGGCTCAGTGTATCGACAGGTAAAGTGCATTTCAGCATTCTGGAATGGGACATGCACTGCTAACTACACTTTGCTTTTATCCAGACATATGTTTATATATTATGTTAAAGTTTGTGCCTATTGTATGTCCTATGTTCAGATCATTTTATAAATTACTATGTAAGATAGTCAGTGCCATTCAGTTATCAGTGAAGTATGTGCATAGATTCTGACATTGAATTGATAGTTAATGTTTGTTGAATGAATGTGAACCATGTAGCAAATATATATCTTTAATGACACAAATATTTTAAGTACTAAAGGACCTATTTTTTCTATAAATTAAATTGAATCTACCAATTTTCCTTTTCTTACACCGTGAAAAAGAATGAAAAGGAGTTTTCTTATTTTTTCCCAGAGGGCCAAACTTGCCTTCTTACTTTTGAAATACCAATGGAAGGAAACATGTAGTTTTGTTTCACAGTAAACTGGTTCTGATCTCTCAGACATCTTATTACAAACTACTTGATATGTGCAGTGATATCAGGATCTCGAGTTGGGAAAACCTGATGGCAGTGATGTGGAGTATATGAAGTGATTTTAGTTTATTCACTCAGTTGAAGGTTGCCAATCCTTGAGACTTGAGGCAGAAGACTTGAACAGAGGCAGAAGGATTGGTATAAGTTGTTGCAGAAGCTTAGAATGCCCTTTTTAAGAAGGGGATTCCCACTGAAACAATAGGTAGGTATAAGTATTGCCACTACCTAGTTGGATGGCACTTTTCTTTGAGACTTCAATTTGTTTTATTGATGCTTCCAAATTGGGGAAATATATATGTAATTTTTTTGTGGTTAGTGAGAAATTGATAATAGAATGGGTTGCTTAAGATCCTGTGGTGAGATAGTGACAGAACCAAAAATGGGTAGAGACTCTTAGTGTCAGGATTCCGAGGCTGTCAATAACCTTTATTTTAGGCAAAGCTCGTTTATCTAATAAAATATGGGAGCTAGAGACCAAAGTTCTGTGGTAGAGAAAAGAATAATACAGAATGATGAGGTGTTAATATTAAAGGTTTTGTTTCTTTTTAACCTAAGTTAAAAAGGTTTCCCCTTACATGATGAGTACAGAGGCTTCTGTTTTCTTACAAAATGTGAATTGTTATAGACACTTAACACCATGTTGTCATGGTTTTCAGCCATAATAACAAGATGATGCAGATCAAAGCAACCTTAGGTACAGAACAGTGTTTGCCATCTCTGCCTTTGTTTAGTTTGGGCTGGCCATCTTAAAGAAACAGGGACTTCCACACTCTTAGAAGAGTTGAAGGTTTTGGTTTATTTTGCCATGTTTGGGTTCCCTTTTCTGATACATATTAGTTTATTACTTATACCTCCATAAAAGTCTGCCCTTAAAATTAATTACTCAAAATGTAAAAACAGACCTTAAATTAATTGAATTGAATTCAGAATATATCACAGATAACTAAGATACATATTCAGTATATTCAGAAGCTTTAAAATACTTGCTCATACCCTTCAGCTTAATCATTAGATTTCACCCTAAGAATGAGGTTGTTAACCTAACCATAGGTGAACATCAGGGATTCTTATTTTTAAATTAAGAACTCTTAAATAATTCAGCAAAAGACAGAAAAGCTAAGTACATTATCTACAGTGTAACAGAAATTGGCAATAACCTAAATGTCCAGCCAGAGGATTAAGTAAATGGTCGTTTATCACTTAATAGAATATTATATATCCATTAATACAATACTTCTAAAGATGACATAGAAACATGGGAAAATGTTTATAACAAAAGTAGAAATAATAAGAAATCTACCTTTTGTTATAGCTATGTAAAGTATATACATACATGGGGAAAGAATTAATAGTAGAAACCAAACATGAAACTTTTATGTGAAAGAGGTGAGCTTATTTTCCTTTTTTGCAAAATTTTCTTCTCTGTCATTTCAATAAAAAGAGGTGGAAGAAGGGGAGGGGAGAAGATGTAGTTAATTTAGTTTTTAGTGTTTTCTCTCACTCTCTTTAGAATAAGGTAGTCTCAGATGGCTCCTAAGTATTGTGGTATAGAGGTATCATTGCCACAGACTTTCTAGATTAATAGTTTTATGGGTTTTTATATTTTTTTTTGCTGCTGCTTCTTTTCATGTTTCTCGAAGAGTGGTTTGGGACTTGTTTCCTAGATCCACTGCAGTTTATGAAGGCGTCCTTACAGTCAGCTGATGGTGGAAAGGTAGAATCAAGGTCAGATAGATAGAGAAAAATAGCTTTAAGTGTATGTTTCTAGGTTTGATGAGGAAAGGCTTTAATCAACTATTAAAGCAGAAGAGGTAAGCACCTACTGTATGTGATAAGGACTGCTTTTCAGTTTTATAAAGGGAGAAAAAATTCAGCTAACAGTTTCTGTGAAATTTGTTAGAACTTAAAGGGTTCTTGCCACGTGAAATTTGGGACTCATAGTTTTATTTTTTTCCCAAGGGAAGCTTTCTTCATATGCCTTATTTAGACTCTAAGCCTTACTAGACAGTGCAGAATGCATAAGACTTTGAAATATTGTACTCAGTAAATGTTTATTATTAACAGAGTTGATTGACCATGTTGGGAGTATCTCATTTGTACTCTGGATTTTCCTGTCAGGGAAGGAGCATCCATATTGATTCATGGAACAGAAGGAACGGATTCCACACTTCAGGTCACCTCCCTGGCCCAGATCATCTTGGAACCAAGAAGCAGGACCATCCGTGGTTTTGAGGCCCTGATAGAAAGAGAGTGGCTGCAGGTAAGAAAAGCTATTTGGTGCGCAGAGCAACTGCTAATAGTTGATGTTATGATTCTGGTGTGTGTGAGCAGATATAATCTATGAAATTTCAATCGATTAAAATGTTTAAATTGTGTGTTTAATTTTCTGGGGAACAATTAATCCATCTTCCTCTCAATAAATGTTTGTAATCTTTACTGCTCTCTCAATTTCTGGATGTCTCTTTGCTTATGTTACTCATTTGGCACTTCATTCCCTTAGCAGACCCTTACTAGTTGTATTTTGTTACCCACAGGGCAAATACGAACGAGGGAAAACACAGTCCTGTCTTGCAGAGCTTAGTCTTATTAGAGATGACAGACACAAGCTGGGGGCGAGGGGACTTAGAGACTTGTAACACAAAGCGTATGCTTTAGCGCTTTCTGCCTTTTGCTGGTCTGGCTTCCTCTTGTCCTCTTCCCGAGCCAGGTGAAATCCTTCTCATCCCTTAAGATCCAGCTAAATGTCACTTCTTTCATGATGTCTTTGGGACCTTAACCTCCTTCACAGATGAAATTGATCCATTTTCTTCATGCCATGTTTCCTGAACTAGACCCAAATAAAGTGACTTCTTTGAGGCCAGAGAACCATGTCCAATTCATCTGTTTATCCCCAGGATACAACACAGTATTGTGACCTAATGTCAAATGACAACTAAAATAAAGATCTCATAAAATAGATGGAAATCCTCCAAGTCAGAGATTAATTTATGAGTCTATATGCTGTGTGTAACTTAGTAAATAAATGTGATTGGAAATAAATGTGTAGATGTATCTTGAAAGTGGAAGTATCTCTGGAGGAAAATCGTTTCTGGCCCTTCTGGTTACAGTTCAGATATGTTATGTGTCAGTGCTGTTGTGCTTGCCATGTCTACCCTGCCTGACAGCTGACCTTTCTCTCTGTTCAAGTGAGACCGTCCTAAACATTTGGTGAAAATCTATTCAGCTACATTGCTCATGATGCATAGCAAACAAACAAACGAGTATGATTTACTTATTTATATATTACCATTTTAGTGGGGATCAAAATCCCATTAGCCACTGGAATATGTTCATGGCATTATCTTTGTCAGATACAGTACTATGAGGACCCAAAGATAAAGCAGGTTTGGGATAAGGTCAGTACTCAGGTTCTGGGCAGGCCAGAGAGCAAAATGATTCTTAAATTTCCTTTGGTCAGTAGATGGCAGACTCTTCCAGTTCTTTTTGGGAAAACATGGAAACTAAGGACAGCTTTATCTCTAATCTAAAAATATTCATAAAGACCTCTTCATGATGGTAACTTTTTTCATATGTAGTTAAAGATTTAATATCAGGAGTGACCTTATACAGTTTGTGTGGGAGAGCCCCGTCTTTATGTCTATGCAGTGGTGAGGCTTATGTAGCTTACAACAATCAGTGATGCTTTGGATGGATCGAAGCTGATAGCTGTCTTTCGTTTTATACCTGAAGAGCTTATATCCTTTGCCTGTGCTCCAAATTTCAGACCTAGAAAGATTTATGTTTTTCATTACTGAAGTTCATTATTCTTCCATTTGGTATTTCAAGGACAATTGCTGTTCTTATGTTTATGTCTTAACTGCATAGCCTTATTAAGTATTTGAAAATTGTGTCTTTTTCCTTATTAGCTGCTAAATATTTTTTTGTTTGTTTGTTTATGTTTTTATTTTTTTATTTTTTTCCTTTTTCTCCCCAAAGCCCCCAGGTACATAGTTGTATATTCTTCACTGTGGGTCCTTCTAGGTGTGGCATGTGGGACGCTGCCTCAGCGTGGCCCGACGAGCGGTGCCATGTCCGCGCCCAGGACCCGAACCAACGAAACACTGGACCGCCTGCAGCGGAGCGCGCAAACTCAACCACTCGGCCACGGGGCCAGCCCCGCTAAATATTGTTTTAAATCAAGAAATCATTAACCTAAACAGCAAGCCACCTGAATTACACAGTTTCATTTAATGACTTTTGTTGTAATTTTGTGAAACACTATTAATAGAATGTGCTGTAATGTGATCCCACTAGGATATGACTGTCACATTTCCATCTTTTCTCGTAGGCTGGTCACCCATTCCAGCAGCGCTGTGCACAGTCAGCCTATTGTAATAGTAAGCAGAAGTGGGAGTCGCCTGTATTCCTTCTCTTCTTGGACTGTGTGTGGCAGATACTTCGTCAGTTCCCTTGTTCTTTTGAATTTAACGAGAATTTCCTCATCATGCTCTTTGAGCACGCTTACGCCTCACAGTTTGGAACATTTCTGGGCAACAATGAAAGTGAAAGGTGGGTACATTGCTCATGTGGGGCCATTTCATTTTTAGTTGTTTTGGTCACTTCCTACAAGAGACCTGGATTTGGTTCTACATTAATGTTATTTACAAGATGTTAGAGGTTACAGTTAGTATAAATTAAATTACATGAAGTGTATTCCTGTTATGAGCCTATCACTAGCTAGCTGAGAGCATATCCTAGACTTTGTTCTGTTAGATTAAAATTAGTCCATACACTGATTAAAAAGCTTTGAGTAAATTGGGCAACCATTTTAAATGTTAATTTTCTTATATAGGATCATGTATCTAACATCTGGAAGAAGCTATAACATATAATCCAACTCTACTTTCCATCCAGTTTTATGGATTAGGAAGATAATATCCAGAGAAGTTAAATGACTTGTCCAGGGACACACAGCCAGTTGGTCACCAAAAGTATAGCTATAGTACAGGTCTTCCTAATCCTGTTCCAACCTTCTCTGTTACACCTAGAAACTGTCCTCAGGCCCAGAGCGACAATTTCACTTCACAGCCCAGACACCAAGTTTATAGGTTTATTTAGAAGATTCACATCCCAATGATCTTTAAAGGGACTTAATTGGTAGTCTTCTCATTTGGGTACACTCAAAAGGCTTCCTCTGGGTGGGAGACAGGATTTGTTCCTTGGCTGGTAGATGGCATCATTTAGTTGAATAATAAATTTAAACAATTAACAGTTTTTCACAAATAGGATTACTACATCTTGACCAATTGAAAATTTAAGCACCTAGAGCAATATATGTTTTTTGCTCAGAGCTGAATTGGCAAATTTTTGAACATTAGAGTCTCTTACAGCATCCTGTGTTCAGAAGTAGGAAGAAATTTAGAACTATTTGAGTGCTCTAGAAAGTTCTCAGTCACCATAGTTTTCTCACTGTGCTTTGGCTATAGCTGCTACAGCAGCCACACGTGATTCCTGTGATCAGTGTGATTAGAAAGGTAATTTAATGGATGTGTTTATAATCTATACTGTTTCTTCTTTACCCCCAAGGGTACTTGCTGTGAGTGCTTTTCTTGATAATAGTATGGAATGGGGACAGGATTCACTTGTTTGTAGGCATGTTCAAGCTGAAATGTCTGATAGTGGTATTATAAAATTGAACCTTGTAAAAAACATCCGGATGGGTTGGTAGTAGGGTTTTCCCTTGGGTGTTTATTAACAGTTTAGGCTTAAATGAATCTTCGAACATTGTACCACATTTTTTTCTCTTAGTGAAATTTACTTCTGGTGTTTTGATGTCATTTTAAGTTGAGTTTCTGGTAATGATTATACTTATGTTATTACACTTGCATTCAGTACTTATGCCAACAGAACAGGTCTACTTCTAAAAAGTAGGATTTGAGTTGTCTCAGAGATGTCATAAATATTTCACTTTCCCACTCCAGAGACTATTCTGTAACTCCACAGTTAATCCAAATAAAGCATAACTTACTAATAATTTTTTTTGTATTTTCTTCCTTAGTAAAAATAGGTAGAAAGTTTAATGCTTCCTGACTTTATAGTTCTGTTCACCTCTGTTTTAAAATAGAGAATTTTGCTAGTCAAAATAGAGAGTTTAATTAGAAGAGATGACCTAAGAGAAAGCAATGACCATACTTTTTTCCTTTTAAATATTATATCCGAAAGAATAGAAGTTTTAAGGTTTCTTATGAATACAAAGTCTAAAATTACTTGAACCTATTGAATTTGGGACATTGGAACATTAGCTGGTCCTATAAAAAAAATCTTTAAAAACTGCTGAAACTTCTTGGTGAAAGGTGACTTCAACTAAAAGGAAAAATGCAACCCTTTTTACACAGTTTTATTGAGATATAATTCACTTACCATAATATTCACTCATTTAAAGTATGTTGTTCAGTGGGTTTTAGTACATAGTGTATTCAGAGTTGTGCAACCGTCACCAAATCTAATTTTAGAACATTTTCATCACCCCCCAAACAAACCGCATATCCATTAGCAGTCATATGCATTCTCCCTCCCTCTACCTCCTAACCCCTGGTAACCACTAATCTGCTGTCTATACATTGCCTATTTGGAGATTTCATATAAAAGAAATCATGCAGTATGTGGTCTTTTGTGATTAGCTTCTTTCACTGAGTATAACGGTCCCAGGGTTCATCCATGTTGTGGAATGTATCAGTACTTCATTCCTTTCCATTACTGAAAAATACTCCATTGTATAGATATATCCATTCATCAGTTGATGCACGTTTGGGTTGTTTTCCCCTTTTGGCCACCATAAATAATGATGCATCAAACATTTGTTTTGTTTTTGTGTGAAGATGTATTCATTTGTCTTAGGTGTAAACTTAGGAGTGGAATTGCTGGGTCATATAGTAACCAACATTTTGAGGAACTGTGAAACGAAGTGGCAGCACCCTTTTACATTCCCACTAGCAATGTATGAGGGCTCCAGTTTCTCTGTATCTTCACCGTTTTTTATTGTCTGCCTTTTTGGTTTAGTCATCCTAGTGAGTGTAAAGTGGTATCTCATTATATTGATTTGCATTTCTTTAACAACTAATGATGTGGATCGTCTTGCATGTGCTTGTTGGCCATTTGTGTATCTTCTTTGGGAAAATATCTATTCAGATACTTGGCCCGTTTTTTAATTGGGTTATTTGCCTTTTTATTGTTGAGTTGTAAGAGAATTTTCATAGAGATTGCATTGAATCTGCAGATCGCTTTGGGTAGTATTGTTGCCTTAGTGATACTAAGTCTCCCAATCCGTGAACACAGATGTCTTTCCTTTTATTTAGCTCTTTAATTTCTTTTGGCAGTATTTGATAGTTTTTAGTATACAAATATTTCATTTTTGTGGTTAACTTATTCTTGGTATTTTATTATTTTGGATGCTATTATAATGGAATTGTTTTCTTATCTTTTTTGGAGTATTCACTGCTGGTGAATAGAAACATGACTGTTTTTCCTGTGTCTATCTTGTACCCTGCAATTTTGCCAAATTTGTTTATTAGCTCTAGTAGTTTGTGTGGATTCTGTGGGATTTTCTATGTATAGGATCATGGTATCTACAAACAGAGATAGGTGTACTTCTTCTTTTCCAATTTGGATGCCTTTTCTTTCTTTTTCTTTTCAGATAATCTTCCAGTACAATGTTGAACAGCACTGTGAAAGCAGGCACTCTTGTCTTGTTCCTGATCTTAGGGAGAAAGCTTTCAGTCTTTCACCAATGAGTATGATGTTAACTGTGGTGTTTTCATAAATGCCCTTTATTGTTTGAGGAAGTTCCCTTCTATTCCTAATTTGTTGAGTGTTTTTATCATGAAAAGATGGATTTTGTCAAATGCCTTTTCTGCATTAATTGCAATGATCACGTGTTTTTTTCCCTTCATTCTATTTATATGTTGTATTACATTGATTTCCTTATGTTGAACCACTCTTGCATACCTGGGATAAATCCTACTTGGTCATGGTGTATAATCTTTTTTAATATGCTGTTGTATTTGGTTTGCTAGTAGTTTGTTGAGGATTTTTGCATCTTCATTTATAAGGGATATCGTACTATAGTAGTTTCCTTTCCTTGTGACGTCTTTGTCTGGCTTTGGCATCAGGGTAATAATAGCTTCATAAAATGAGTTAGGAAGTATTCTTCCTTTTCTATTTTTTGGAGAGTTTGAGAAGGATTGGTGTTCATTCTTTTTTTAATGTTAGGTAGAATTTACCAGTGAAGCCCGTTGCTCCTGGATTTTTCCTTGTTGAGAGATTTTTTATTACTGATTCAGTCTCTTTTTGTTGTTGTTATAGGTCTGTTGAGATTTTCTATTTCTTGAGTCAGTTTAGGTAATTTATGGGAATTTGTCTGTTTCATCTAGATTATCTAATTAGTTGATGTACAATTATCCATAGTATTCTCTTATAATCCTTTTGTCATTCTTGCTAAAGGGACAATTTTTGCTGGTCTTTTCAAAGAACCAACTTTTGGTTTCATTGATGCTCTCTGTTGTTTTTTTATTTTCTGTTTTGTCTCTGTCCTCTCTGATCTTATTTTTTCCTTCCTTCTGCTAGCATTGGTTTAGTTTGCTCTTCTTTTTCTGGTTCCTCAGGGCATAAAGTTAGGTTAATGATTTAAGACCTTTGTTCTTTCTTAATATTGGTGTTTACTGCTATAAATTTTCCTCCGAGCACTGCTTTTACTAGATCCATATGAGTTGTATTAGCATGTTGTGGGGTTTTTTTTTTTTCATTCATCTATAAGCATTTTCTAATTTCTCCTTTAACCCATTGGTTGTTTAAAAGTGTGTTATGTAATTCCACATATTTATGGATTTTCTAGTCTTTCTTCTGTTGTTGATTTCTAATTTCATTCTGTTTTGGTTAGAGAAGATACTTTGTGTGATTTGTTTTGTGGCCTAATGTGGTCTATTCTGGAGAGTGTTTCATGTGCCTTTGAGAAGAATGTGTATTCTGTTGCTGTTGGGTAGAGTATTCTATATTTGTCTTATATTTTGTTCAAATCCTCTATTTCCTTATCTGTCTGGTTATTCTATACATTATCAAAAGTGAGATATTGATGTTCTTAACTATATTGTAGAATTGTCTCTCTATTCTGTGATGTCAGTTTTCACGTCATATATTTTTGTGGCTCTGGTGTAAGGAGCATATATAATTTATTATATCTTCTTGATGAATTGGCCTTTTTTTCAGTATATAATGTCTTTCTTTGTCTCTTGTAAGAGTTTTTCTCTTAGAGTTTATTTTGTCTGATGTAATTTATCCACCCCAGCTCTCTCTTGGTTACTGTTTGTATGGAAAATCTTCTATCCTTTCAGTTTCAATCTTGTGCGTCTTTGAATCTAAAGTGAATCTTTTGTAAATAATATATAGTTGGATCATGTATTTTAATCCATTCTGCTAATCTCTGCCTTTTGATTTGAAAGTTTACTTCATTTATATTTAAAGTGATTACTAATAAGGAAGGACTTATCTCTGCCATTTCACTATTTGTTTTCCAT